CTTCAGTTATAGCCTAATTCAGTGTGGACCAAAGGGATACACAAATTTACATCTTCAAATCGCAACATATATTAGATACACGTAGCCACCTAACTTAGGTTGTAAACAGAACGTATCACAAGTGCACTGTCAAATATTGACTCATTTATAGTATGTTAACACAGGATTGACTCACTTATTTCTTTGATCTCTTCCTCGCCCTTCTGGTGTACGGAGTCCTGGTAGATGCTGCAGGCAGTCGAAGGCGAGTCTATCGTCGTCTTTTGGTGTGAACAATATCGGCACCTTCATCAGGTATGGTAGCTTCAATCAGCAATTCATAGGCATCGCCTACATAAAAGTACGATCGGCCAAATTACTTAGTCGAGCCCCCAAACATAGCATAATGTACCAAAACACAAAACTATCGAGCTATACGCTCTCCTACGTAACACAAATATGTTGGAGTTGGCTTCGGGAACTTACCTTCGATGTGGAACACGTGAGTGGACGTGGGAAGTGCACTTGTACCCACGGTATTGTCAGTCAGTTCATTACCATCTACAGAAGTTGAGGACAAGACAGTCATTAGTAGTTTGCAAGTGTATACATTATTAAAACTTATGCAATACAAAACTTACCGACCACCTCCGTCACAGCATGAGCAGAAGGAAATTCGACGTTGTCCGAGTACAGCACTTTGGGCTCCATCCCTCCTCCAGCTACTTGAAAACATAATAGTAATTATGTCCACAATACAGTATGAGCTCCGGAGATGGTACTACAATACAAAACGACATATTTCCTCATAGCAAATGCACATACCGTTCACATCTTGCAGGTCGGTACCCGACGGACCCCTATAGTCATACGGGAACGGGTGGATGCCTCCTCCATCTGGGAACGTGTGGATGCCTCATCCATCTATTTCACAAGATCTGGATTGACATGAAGGAGTTTAATATTAGCAAAATATAGCACGCAATCAGATGAGATGAATAAAAAAAAAAGTTCCTCATAACCAATGAAATTACTGGTCTCTTCCTGGCTCACACTGGGCAATGTCCCGTCACGGTCATCCGGGTCTGGGCCGATGGGCGGAGAATTGGATGTCTGCAACCTCGGAAAGGAACCCGATGCATGAGTTGCGGAAGTCTTGGCGTTGCCGCTCATCCAAATGGTCTATGAACCTATTTATGTACTTCAAGTTGCTTCGCTGCAAAAAGCAGGCCCGCAACTGTGCATTTTCCGAAACTAGGAATTCGAAATTCATCTCTTCTGCAAGGTACAACAAGAAAATGAAAAAAAATGTCACATTGTGGTATGTGGTACTGTTGATGCCAAGGTATGACAACAAATTACGAAACACAATTTAACAAATTAATACGAACATTATAGAAGGAAATAAAACGAATATCAACAGTAGTACGAAAATCAGAACACACAAAACAATTTATTACAACTGCATGAAAACAAATGAAAAAATTATGGTGCACAATATTTCGTATATGTTAATGTGAAACACACATATTACGCTCAGATGAACCAACGTTCGACATGTAGAACTGTTATCTGTCGAGAAAAAATGAGAAGAAGTTTCGGGTCTCGACAGTTCATCTGTCGAGATTCTCCCATCTGCCGAGAATTACTGCAGTGAACTGTCGGGAACTACAGTTCACGACGATGAATAATACAAAAGGAAATCATCTCTTATTTCATATCTTTTCTAGGTTCATATTCTTTCAATCCCATCGGTATGATCACTCCGCTTAATTTGCGTTTACTGTCCAGTTAAAGTGTTTTGCCCGCACCTCGCGCCTATACGTGCATTTTAGAACACTAGTTACTTATAACTCGATGAAGAATAAGGTCTTTAACAACATAATAGTAACACAAGTTTATTATATGTAATTAAATGGCACCTACTAGGCAGACACATCTATAGCAGAATTCCAAGTCAGCTCCCATAACATAAATAGCAGAACCTAAGAAGAATGACTGGGCAAGTCCTAACTACTGACTGAAAATTGGATTGACTTTCAATATTAGCTAGGGAATATACACCAAACTGGCTTTCAATATTGAATGGATTGGTATCACTTCCACTTGTTGGTGAATAACTTCATTTTTAATTTTATTGTTTCTCGTATAGGTGGATCATCCATCTTGGCTTCATCGATTTTACACTATTCATCCTATATAAGTCGAATAAGCATATCTTGAGTTGGTAAAGAAATGGATGTATAAAGAAATTATGGAAATGAAGAACATTGCAGTTTAACCCCAAAGCCTAAAAGTTGAAAACTGTGAGTCATTTCCGTGCACTTTGTTGCCAACTCTCTTCTTATGGATATTATACGGTTTTCTAAACACACCCAATAAAAATCAGTCAATCCGAAAACCTTTTATGTTGCTTGTTCAAGAAAAGAGAGTAGAGAAGGGCAGAAAGGGGGTATCAGCAATGATAGCACTGCTAGAGTATGTGATGATTATTGGGGCTCACAACCTTACTCATTTAAATCTTACAGTCTAGGGTTGTTCACTTGACCTTATCAAAGCAGCTTTTGGTGAGAAAAGATTGCTTAAAATATGAAGTTTTAATAAGTCCATGATCTACAATTTGAGGGGTGGCGTGGGGTGGGGAATACTCATACAATTAGAGATGGGGGATTAGTAATGGTAGCACGACTTTTGGACTCACAATCATACTCATTTAAAATCTTATTGTCCATGCACATCAGTTGAACTTATCAAAGAACCTTGTTCTTCTAGGTGGGGGACTGAATTGATTCATAATAGCCCAATTTGACACAATAATTGGCACCATAACAAGAATGGTAGATTTTTTGGTTAACTTCGCTAAGCACCCAACTGCTTGAATCAAGCTTGAGGTCATAAAATGGGCAAATGTACTTTCAGGTTCCACCAAAGGTTAAATCACTAGATCCAACAAGTGCTTACAATATCACTCATACAACATATTGAATGAAGAGAAATATGCCACATGATTTGCTCGTAATTGGATCTTCTACAGATTGTCTATTTCTATTTGAGTGATGAATTTCCTATCTCTAATTTATACTCTGCTATTGCTAAACAAAAGTGCGGTAGATAAAATTTTTCATGTGAGAAAAATGAAAAAATAAAAAAAAATTACACATGCATTTGCCAACATATGCGTTATGTGATTTTACTAAACTATTTCATAGCGAATTCCACCAATAATTCAAAGGAGGAGAAAAGATGTACCAATTCAAAAGAGGAATGAATATTTTCTCAAAAGAGAACTCCCTGCAATAAATATAGAGACATGCCTTAGTACCCAGAACATGAAACACTAAAACCCTAAAATGCAAATTGTGGGCTTTTTTCCATCAGATGAAAAATGAAAACTTGCTCCCCCCAAACTCAACCGACCACTTTATAATATAATATACTAAGCTTATTGGCATGAAAATTGGCAATTACAACAAAAAACTTACAAAATAATCAATTTATATTGGACATTTGTAATTCAATTTCTAATGCTAAAATTCCCTGAAAAAAATCAGCCACAACACTAAACCCTTAAATTTAAATATTTCTTGTTTCTCTTTTTTCTTTTCTAACGGAGGCATGGCATACCCTTAAAGAGTGTTGGGGATTATTTGGGGAAATAATTCATTTCTTTTGCTTTTTTAAAATGGCAAATCCTTCCCTTACATTTACTCAGTTTTTGTACAATTTTTCATCTATTCAAATGTCAATTAATGAAGGACATGTCAGATATTTAAATTATCTAGAGGACAAAAATGTTCGAAAATAACAATTTTGCAAAAACTTCAAAAAAGTGACATTTCTGTAAATGTACAGCTAAAAAATGACATCTAATGCAATTTTCTTTGAAAAAAATTATAAAACACGTAGATTAATACAAGATGCCGAGTCAATGTTTATCATTATCTGCACTCATTTTAAAGTAAACTTATTTTTCTCCAAAACATGATATTTGACCTTTGACAATGAAATTGAAATTTGTCTTTTAACTGATTCATTGATTATTTAAATGCAAATGTAAGTACTTACAAATTGTGAAGACGGAGCAGGGCTGCCGGAAAATGGGAACTTCAACACCCAAGTTCCCCCTACACTCATCCAAGCGACTGCGCCGCCGTTTTCTCAACCGTGCCTTTGCCGTTATTTACTTTTCTGCCATCCTGGCTCTCCTCTACCATCACGCAGAAA